CCCCCCCCCCCCCCATTATGTATAAATTTCAATTTTCTTAACAGTATTTAACACAATGCCAGTGTCTAAGATCCGGATCCGTTGGATCTCATATGGTATTTTGGCTTCCTGCTTCCGGATCTGCAAATATATACGGATCCGGATCCAAGGGGCACAATATCAACTAAAAACTGCAACAAAAAAGAATTTATTCTCAACCCAAATCAGAACCATTGAAACAAGAACCAAAATTTCCTGATTTATGAATGGTTCATGAAGTTTTAGCATGAAATAAGCGAACAAAATAAGACACAAATTTTGAAAATTCTGCTTTGTAAAAAAAAATCAGTAAATTTAAAGAAATGATCTGGATCTGGATCCATTTTTTCCAGTGCGGATCCAGGATCTGAATCATGATCCGCATCAAAATTAAATGGATCCTAAGCACTGTACAACGATGTTTAGTAGAAAAAAAGCATAAGCACACTTTTTTCAGAGACACCTTGTATGAGTACTATAAATCTATTATTTGTTAAATAGATAATGCGTTATGAAATGTATTGATATTAAATATTATTTCAGGAATCAGGATATCTACGGAATCTAAGTGAGGAGAATGAAACTAAAAGTGAAGACCCACCCAATTACTCATTGTATTTTTGATCTTGACGGTACAATCCTAGATACGGAGAATATTTACAGGAAGGGATACAGACGGGTTAGTTGGTTTTAATTTAATTTAGGGACTTATCAATACGCTATTTTAAGTAACCTGGAGGCGTTGCGGAGGGTTAGGTTAGCCTAGGGGGGGGGGGGGTGTGTACTTTTGGCGTGATTTTTAGATCTGTAGCTTAATAACACAAGTTTATGAGCTATCTTAACCCTATCCCTGCTGGGGTACTTGAAAACCAGTATACAATTATGTTTGATGTCCTATTATAACAAATTATGCATCATCGGAAACCTCTTATGCTCTACTTTTAAAATCTGCAAACAAATTTGCACATTTGTAAAAATTGATCAGATAAAGTGGCTAACGTAAATCGCAAATTGCAGGGGGGGGGGAAGAGTGTTCACGCAAAATTAGATTGAAAAAAAAGAAAGATAAATCAGAAAAATGTCGCCAAATAAAAATGCTATTAATTGTTTATTTGTTCCCAGGTGTGTGAGAAGTATGGGAAAAGGGAGAAGTTGACCCAAAGCCTTGAATCTAGACTAGCGGGCCAGTCTGCTATGCAGGTAACATATTGAGGATACAGGGTTACCCACAAAGGATGAGACTTTAGTAATGACTTGTATTTCTTTTTGACATTAGTACATATCACATTAGAAATCTATATTTCAGGCAAATTCCTAAAGCCGGTCTTCAAAGCATTGTTTCTAAAAGTTACGGGGTCATTTACTTCTAATCCTTTGTTGAAAAATAAACTCAACTATATTCTTTTTCAACTTAGCTTTACAGATTTTATAGTTTTTATTAGAAGCCGCCCCCTACTCATTTCTGGATAATTTTCTATGATTTCTTATCTTCTATTTCAACTTTTAAGTGTGGCTTTATCTCATGATCATCTTCTCTTTCAGTACAAAACAAAACAAAAAAACGTTTGCGGATTTCATGATATTTTTTCGCGCATTTTAAAAATTTTACAAAATTAAAATACGCAAATTTTTAAAATTTTGATCATTCATAAACCTTCCTTGGGGTCACGTGAGGTCCCACACGAAATTTGGGCCGTTTTGACGTTTATTGGATACAAGACAGACATATAAACAAGCTAAATATATATATAGATGATTTCGAATAATTTCATGTGGCACTCTCTTTAACTGATTTCTCCCAGTTAAATGTTTTGAAAAACACGTCATGTATTATTTTTAGGTTAAAATTACTTTAAATTTTTTTCTTAAAAATTCAAATAATTTCTCCAATCACTAATAGTTGTATCTCTCTCAGTGACACATATCGGCCATTTTGTTTTGGTGTGATTCCTTGTGTAATTTAGTTACATTTTTTCCACATAATAACTTCTTTATCTACATATTAACTTCTTACTCTACATGTTAACTTCTTTATAAGAATCAGCACTATCAACGATTTTTATAACACAATAACTACTTTTAACACTATTATTTTGGTTTGCAGTTCAAGTTTTTAGGCAGAAATATTTCTTAAACTCTGACTTTAAATCACGATGATTACTTTGTAGCGCGTCTATGATGAAATTTACCAAGAGGTGACGTGACTATAAGTAAAAAAGTTTATAAAAAAAATTGCTCACTTGATATTTTCTTTTTTAAGATCTGTTTGGTTTTGATATATTTCCTTGCAAAGTTGCAGAGTACTGCTGGCACTTAAAACCCATCCAACTTGAAACAGACATTACATCAATTATACTGCATTCAAATATTGTATACAGTATACAGTATTCTTTTATTAAACAGTATACTGTATACAGTATAGAGTATACTGCATTCTATATATCATATACAGTATACTGTATTCTAATATTATATACAGTATACTGCATTCTATATATCATATACACTATATTGCATTCTAATATTATATACAGTATACTGTATTCTAATATTTTATACAGTATACTGCATTCTAATATTATATACAGTATACTGCATTCTAATATTTTATACAGTATACTGTATTCTAATATTATATACAATATACTGGATTCTAATATTATATACAGTAGTGTACTTACTGTATATACATTCATATATATACAGTATACTGAGCAGTTTGATTTTGCTGTCTGCTTAAAGGAAATTTTGAATTTTCAGCTTTGACGTCATGTTTCTAGATCTTTCTATCTTATTTTTATTTCAAGATTTAAGAAATTAGAAATTTTAGAATATTATAATTTAAAAATTCTGGTTATTTTTAATTGCCTGTAGTTTCCCGATAACCGATGAAGATCATAAAATGTACACATATTGTTATCTATATAATAAAACTCTTTGCTTATATATTTGTTTGTATGTTAGCTATAGCTGGCCAAACGGCTTCACCGAATTGGCTGACATTTTTTTTAAAGGGAATCCTTGAGTATCCCAGGGGTAACATAGGCTAAAAAATCGAAATATTTGTTTTAATAAATAATTTTTTTTCAATTTTTTTTATTCGAAATTTTTTCTTAAATTTTACTGGCATCGCAGGGCACTTTAGCTAATTTCATAACTTTTCATAAAAATATGGCAATGCCCGATTCACAAAAATACCCTTAAAAACTTTGTCTGAATTAGATATTCATGTTTATAATATTGAAACATTATTATTTCAATTCTGACTTCTCTACAAAAGTGACTTGCGCATTTCTACTGCAGGAAAATGGAAAACATAGAGGAACTATCCGAAGTAAATACATTTATACCTAGAAAATTAAAATATATCATAATTGATCAGAACAAGATAATTTGTCACTTTTGTAAAGAGACATGAATCATTAAATATTTATTCGTACAAAGATTTTAAGGATGTGAATCAGACATGGTCACCTTTGTATGAACTGGTCTCTTGACTCTGTATAAACCAATTATAATAAATATCGATTTAATGGAAAAGGAAGAATTCTTAGAAATGTTAAATGAAGTCGATGACGTCGTATACAAATATTCAAATATGACTATGGACTATTGTGTAGACAGGGGAAAATGGGGGGCCGTGATTTACAGGGGAATCTCAGGTTCTTGTTAATCCCCCCCCCCTTGTATAATTCCTGTATACGTCCCTGTGTGCAGACTGAATATTCCTGTATAGTCCCTGTGTGCAGACTGAATATTCCTGTATACGTCCCTGTGTGCAGACTGAATATTCCTGTATACGTCCCTGTGTTCGATTTAAAATGAGAATCCCCCTCCCTGGTCATCTCTGGTTCCTCTTGGAGTTATTTTTAAAATGGTCTCCTAAAAAAGTTGAATTTAATTTCTACTTTTGTTAACTTCTACATCATGAAAAATATGTTCTCTTTCCAAAAACATTTTCTGCTTTAGTAAATAAATATTATACAACCTACTCAGAAAAAAACAAACGGGAAAGTGATATTTTAAGTGGAATTATTTTACTTATAAATAATAAATTGTTAACCTTTTTTTCTGAAAAATTTCTGCTAGTAACATTGAGAAATATGGAATATTCATTTTTTTACGCACCTTGTAAGGTCAATTGTCGACATTTTGATAACAAATTTTTATGATTTTCATGTTTTTTTATATTTGTAATTGTAATTAAATCTTGCTTTTTGCAGAAGTATTATTTTGTGCATTATGTAATTCAAATTTTTGTGTAAATTGAAGATAGTGACAAAATATAAACTAAACCATCGAAAAATGCCATTTCTTCTTCAATTTCCACATTTTATGAGTAATTAATGAGAAAGAATATTAAAATCAACAAGACGCAAAATTTTGAAAATTGTTTTCGTCCAAATAAATTAGCAAAACTTTAAACTAGAGAATATCTATAATCCGGAATCAATTTTATATTACTAGGCTTTTAGGGCGCTTTGCGCCCATCCTCTATTTCAATTTTTAATTGTGGCTGTATCTGTGAGCATTTTCTCTTTGTACAGTATAAAACAAAAACAAAAAAAGTTAGCGGATTTCATAATATTTTTTCGCGCATTTTCAAAATTTTACAAAAATAAAAAACTTTTTTGACACAAATTTTTAAAATTTTGAGCATTCGTAAATCTTCAGTCATTTTTTATTGGATACAAACTAACAAACCGACTAACAGACAAGCTAAACTTATATGTAGATGTTTTATCCAGATCTACTTTTATAAGTATGAATCCGGATTCTAGTGAAAATGGAATAATATTAGTTCTAATAAGTCAAAGTAAACGAAACCTATTTATCATGAAACTGAAACCTTATTTGTTTTTAATCATTTCTAGTATATTTAATATCCTCTAAACTATGTAAATTATATGTTTTTCATAGAAAATCTTGTTTAGACGTATATTTTTTATTAAAAGTTTTTATTTAAACCAATTGTTCAGGAAAGAGTTGGACAAAGAAATTGCTCCTATCCTCAGCTCCGCAAAGTAAGCCAACTAGAAATTTAAGAGAATTAAATTTTTTTTTGTAAGTTTAAGTTTTGATTGTGATTGTGGGTCTGTGGCCCTGTCTGTGGGCATCTTTTCTCTACAGTGCATAATAATAACAAACAAAAAATCCACGGATTTACTAGTGTTTTTTGCACATTTTAAAACTTCAACAAAAATCAAAAACTTTTGAACACAAATTTTTGTAATTTTGAGCATATACCTTCCCTGGGGTCTTGTGAGGTCCCACATAAGATTTGCAAGCCCGGTCAGTTCACCCGTTTTGACGTTTATTGGATACAAACTAACAGACTGACAACAAATTTTATATATACATATATATCTTCACTTAATGTATAGTATTATTGTTGTGTTGAGGGGGGGTTGGGGGTTGAATAGGGTTTGGCTTATGTAAACTGGTTTAAACCAGACAGAATTTTACAGTTAGGGCATTTTAATCTTGTTAAATAATATGTCGGGAGGAATATAACGCATTTTAGAGTTTTAATCATTTTGTCGAAATTTAGTTACCTTGCTAAGTAACTACGGTTGCTACGGTAGATAATAAATTGCTTAATAAATGATAAAAACAATCGGTTTTTTAAAAGTTTTATTTTGATATTATTTGCCTCCAATAGTTTTTATGGCAAACTTGTGTTTTTATTTAACAAAATTAAAATGATTTTTTTTCCGTAGACTTAAGCCAGGAGCAGAGAAACTGATTTCTCATTTGGCGGATAATGGGATTCCTCTCGCTATTGCTTCCTCTAGTAGAAGGCGAAATGCAAAACTCAAGGTAGTAAATTTCCCGCGTTTTTCAGCCATTTTTATTTTGTTAATTTCTGCCATTTTTTATGTCGGATATATTCAAGTTTTTCTTTTTCTTCGGTTTCCTTAGTGTTAGTTCTACGTATACATTCTCAAGTTCAGTTAGTTTTAGTTTAGTGAAATTCAAGTTTTTAAATAGATTTTATGATTTTTCTCTTTTTATTTTTCTTGCGACTTAATAAAATATTCTTTAGAAATTTCCTGAAAACAAATTTGTAATGTATTGCTAGACTGGATTGATTATAGGCAGGGATTATTATCTTTTGTCTGATGCACGTTTAATGTGTTATTTAAGAGACTGCTGCATAGAGATATGACGCACTAAGACTCCACTATTCATAGGAAAGGTGGTTTTTACAGGGGTGTATATTCCTTCACGACCCCTTCACTTCTTAGCTCTCACCCTGCCCCCCTCCTTCTTGGTGATATGTTAGGGGATATTTTTCTATCTAATATTGGAATAACAAAATATACCACATTATATTGGCATTTTTCTTGCTGACTTTTGTCTTCATTCAATGTTAAAAAAGGTCGACTTTTAAAGACTAAAAAAATGCGATGCACTGCGGGGTTAAAAATAGTAACGTAAAAGTCATTTATTTTCATCTTTTTGCAGCTTTTTTATGTGAAATTCAATGAATATACATCCCTGAAAAGTGTAGACTAAGATAATCTTATATTTTTAAACAATTCTTTTTAAAAAGAATCTTATTATTATTTTTATTGTCATTATTATTTTTATTATTATTTTTATTTTTCAGTGCTGGAAAGCCTAATCCTAGCCTTTTCCTTAAAGCCTCGGAGTATTTTGATGACGTAGACATAGGTAAGAGAATTATGCTTTGTAAACCGACCTATGTGTTCCCGACATAGGTAAGAGAATTATTCTTTGTAAACCGACCTTTGTGTTTCCGACGTTGAAATTATGAGATCTTAACTAATATTTTAGATTTAAATTTATAAGATCGTGCAAGATTTTTTTATTAAACTAATTCACGATCGTTCGGATAACCTTTAGGTAAGGTTCCTCTTTGTCAAGTTTCCATTGCGATGCAATATCATGGAATTAAATCGCTTTTTATTTTAAACTTGTCTAATCTCAGTCAACCTCCTCTAAACTCCATATCAGTATGTCTAGCTAGACCTAATCTAAACTCAATATTAGTATGTCTAGCTAGACCTAACCTATACTTCATATTAGTATGTCTAGCTAGACCTAAACTAAACTCCATATTAGTATATCTAGCTAGATATAATCTAAACTCCATATCAGTATGTCTAGCTAGACCTAACCTAAACTTCATATTAGTATGTCTAGCTAGACCTAACCTATACTTCATATTAGTATGTCTAGCTAGACCTAACCTAAACTCCATATTAGTATATCTAGCTAGATCTAATCTAAACTCCATATCAGTATGTCTAGCTAGACCTAACCTAAACTCCATATCAGCATGTCTAGCTAGACCTAACCTAAACTCCATATCAGTATGTCTAGCTAGACCTAATCTAAACTCCATATCAGTATGTCTAGCTAGATATAACCTAAACTCCATATCAGTATGTCTAACCTAAACTCCATATTAGTATGTCTAGCTAGACCTAACCTAAACTCCATATCAGTATGTCTAGCTAGACCTAACCTAAACTCCATATCAGTATGTCTAGCTATACCTGACCTAAACTCCATATTAGTATATCTAGCTAGATCTAACCCAATTTTTAGGCTGCACTGGTACATTTAAGATAGAAAAACTAAATTTTTTATTGTTACTCCTGAGTGGTTTCAATGTTACCGTTATGAATCTGATATGTAAATTTTTAAATGGATGGAGGGTCAATTAAAATTACTTGGACACTCCCTTTCATTTAACTTTTTATTGTGTGTTTTGTCCATGAGGGGTGAATTTAAACAATCTGAGGAAATAATGATTCCTGAGATAAAAACCAGAAAAATCTAGACTAGCGTTTTTTATCTTCAACCGGGTTTAAAAGGACAGAGGAAAGGCACGCCGTCACCGTTTCTCGTCCGTGCCGCAAATGGCGTCATAAACTCTTCCACTTATTCACACACTTTTTATTCGGCCGCACCCTCTTATCATTATTGATTAAGAATTTATGTGTGTTCAGAATTTGTCATGACTTGGCCTAAAAGTAAAATATATTGGTTTGATGAGACATCAAAATGCTGGTCGTGAAACAGGAACAGTTCGTTTTCCCTTCAATGCTTAGAATCTAAATCCGGAACATTTCTTCAAACATCCGGAACTTTAATCTCAGCAGTTTAAGTATAAAAATAAACGGAAAAAGGAAGATTTTTTTTGAAAATTGGTTATTTTAAAAAATCAGTAATTCTTGACGCAATTTTTATGACCGGGATCCGGATCCGTATCTGCATCAATTTGATCCTAAGCACAGTTTACCTGTAAGTGCTGTTAGACAGGGAAATTATTATCCTCTTATTCTGGAACTAAACCCGGAACCAAACACAAAGTATAAAATCAAGTCAAATATTGGAAATATATTTCTAATATTTTTAGAAAATATCCTGGTTTTTGAAGACAGTGTCAGTGGAGTCAAGGTGAAGACATTTAATTTTCTTTTTTTTTAAATCAAAATGTTTCAATGTATATTTTATTAGTCTTCTTTTTAGTCTTCTTTGTCTTTCATTATTATTTTTGAAAATTAAAATTTCTATTTAATATATTTTCAGAAAATGCAAAATTCATAGTTTATCTTTATTTCAATTTTTTGACAACATTCTTTTGTTAAAAAACTCCCAGTCAAATTAATTTTTTTTAAACGGAAAACAAAATATTTTATTTAAACGGAGGGAGAGAATGGGATAAATTATTACTGCATGGTTTATGATCATTTTTTTCTCGTCTGATTATTCTTGGACTAAATTTGTTTGTTTGAAGGCTGCCCAGGACGCCGGGATGAACGTGGTGATGATCCCGGACACAGAGGCGGTCGTCAAATCCGTGGATGTTATCAGTTCTCTAGGTAATATAGTGGTAGCTTACAGGGTCCTCAGATTATATTTCTTCGTTGTTCTTGGGGCTGAAAAACCCATGTGCCGAAAAAAACGCGAGTAGATTTTAGTAATTCTGGTGAAATAGAAAGATTTTTAATCATTGATGCACAGATAAAACATTTCCGTATTTCAGGTCCAAATTTGATATGAATTTATTATCAAATTATTGAAACATAATTTAATTATATTTGGTTAGTAGACCCCATCTCATCCTTCAACCTGCAAAAAAATTTTGTTTGTGACTTTTTAAAGCCTTAATAGATTTTTTTCACGAGTTAAAACGATAATATTTGCAACATTTTTTATGTTCATTGTTAATTTGTTAAGATTAATATTATCTTAATTTAAAGAGTCAAAATTAGTATTTGTTTAAGTTCACTGTTTATTTCAAGTACAAAGCATTAATACGTCATTAAGAAGATTACAGCATTGTAAAGATCATTACTGAAAGATTCACAGATTTATGGCTTTTAAATTTATCATGAACATTTTTAGAAAACAATTTTTTTTTAGAAAATTTCCGTCCTGAAGCTTACGGTCTACCCCCCTATGAGGATAAGGATGATGGTGACGATCAAGATGATGGAGTGGACGATCAAAATGATGAGGATAGTCACCTTTGAAGGTCAAGATTAGACTATCAAGACGATAGATTCGAAGACGAAGTCGAAGTGAGACGAGATTAGAAGAAAATGTTAATTATTGCTGATGGTGTGATAAACCTGATTGTCCCTTGACCTACACTATTAGATAGAGATGGCCACGTTCGGTTTTTTTAAACTTTCTTCGTGATTCGTGAAAGACCCATTTCGTTCTAGTTTTTTCAATCACTCAAAAAAATGATTTCTTTCCTTCTCAAAATTAACATTTCTATCTACATCGTTCATTTTCTCACTGAACGAACGTTCATTCAAATTGTTTGTTTAAAATATCGTTCGTTCAACGAAATCGTCGTTCGATTAATACCTTTGTTTACAAAAAACTTCAATCGTTCACAAAAATTTAGTTCGTTGACTGAAACGATGCCCATCTCTGCTATTGTTTGTATATTTAGAAATCCTGAACAAAATGTTAGAGATGTCTCACAAATGTTCATATCCAAAACATTCGAAATGTTTTCTAACAGGATTGGTATGTTTTAGTTCGTGTCAATATCTACGAAGACTATTTTGTCTGAGGGCCGATGGTGAAAGCCTATTATTATCTTAAATTAATAAAATGAACTAAATTCATATGTTTACTATAGTAATTGTATCAAACTGCCTTCAAAGGATGAGTGATGACGGATTAAAAATACTTGTAAATAATTTATGAAGTCGTCTTTCAGTTTAATCCTTCGTGGGCAAGTTTCCCCATTTTTTCTTAACTTCGTTATGTTTTTTACTCGTAAATTAATGTTCAGAAATTTTGGATTGATATTTTTTGTAGTTATGTTTTGGATCGATAGATAGTACATTCAATTTTTGAAGGTTGTTATCCATTAAACTTTTTGCGGATTTTTTAAAAGAGTTAAAGTTTTGCGAATTTTTTAAAAGAGTTATAGTTTTGCGGTATTTTTAAATGAGTTAATTTTGCGGATTTAAAAAAATAGTTTTAGTTTTGCAGTTTTTAAAATGAGTTCTGCTAACTTTATTGTGCCAATATACCCTTGATCATGCACTGCATTCATTCTTTGTACATAGTCTATATTCTATACTTAAAATATATCCTGTAAAATGTACATATACAATATTTTTGAAATAAATTATTTCTTAATAATTTTAAGATGTGAAAATGATTTCTTAAAATAGGGGGGGGGGAGGTTACGATTTGAGGATAAATTTTGTCATTTGGTTAAATTAACAGTTAGTGTTAAATTGTTAATTTAGATTGTTGCGTTTCAACTGATATATATATATGTTGCCGATTGGGCTGAAATTTTTTGTGGACACTCAGGGCTGGCCGAGGGGTGTTGCAGGCTAAAAAATTAATTTTTTATATTTTTATTTTTTCCATGGGCCCTTTAGCTAGTTATTAATAAATAATAATGAAACCAAAATAATTAAACAAAGAAAATAAATTTGAATTTAACCTTCCATGTAAGTAGTCTATAACCTGTATAATTCAATTCTGCAGCCTAGATTGATGATTTTTAAACTTTGAAAAGTAAGACTTACAAATATTGATGATAAAGAGGTTATTATTTGTATTATTTGTAAAAAGATTAATCGTCCAACATGTTTTTTAATATATATTTTCGATACGAATATTTTTAAAGAAGAAATTTGGATCATTTAAATTCCGTCTATTCCTGATAATTTTAAGTTGTAATAGTTCAGGTACTAGATGAACTAGCTGGAGGTTAAAAATATGTTCAAACAAAGTTTTACATTTTTGACACAAGTCGTTAAATTGTGAACTCTTTCTAGAAATTAATTGCGATAAGGAAAAATTATGTATTTATTAAAAAAAAAAAATTAGACAAACTACAGCGTAATATATTTGTATAATCTGTTTAATAATCTAAACGTGAGAGATAAATGTTGATTCCCAGTCCCCACGTCAAACTACAGCGTTATATATTTGTATAATCTGTTAAATAAACTAAACGTGAGAGATAAATGTTGTTTCCCAGTCCCCACGTTAAACTAACACGTTATATATTTGTATAATCTGTTAAATAAACTAAACGTGAGAGATAAATGTAGTTTCCCAGTCCCCACGTCATCAAACTATAACAGAGTTATATATTTGTATAATCTGTTTAATAAACTAAACTTGAGAGATAAATGCTGTTTCCCAGTCCCCACTGTCAAACTACAGAGTTATATATTTGTGTAATATGTTTAATAAACTAAACTTGAGAGATAAATGCTGTTTCCCAGTCCCCACGTCAAACTACAGCGTTATATATTTGTATAATCTGTTTAATAAACTAAAATTGAGAGATAAATGTAGTTTCCCAGTCCCCACGTCAAACTACAGCGTAATATATTTGTATAATCTGTTTAATAAACTATACCTTGAGAGATAAATGTTGTTTCCCAGTCCCCACGTCAAACTACAGCGTTATATATTTGTGTAATATGTTTAATAAACTAAACTTGAGAGATAAATGCTGTTTCCCAGTCCCCACGTCAAACTACAGCGTAATATATTTGTATAATCTGTTTAATAAACTAAACATGAGAGATAAATGATGTTTCCCAGTCCCCACGTCAAACTTCAGCGTTATATATTTGTATAATCTGTTAAATAAACTAAACGTGAGAGATAAATGTTGTTTCCCAGTCCCCACGTCAAACTACAGAGTTATATATTTGTGTAATATGTTTAATAAACTAAACTTGAGAGATAAATGCTGTTTCCCAGTCCCCACTGTCAAACTACAGAGTTATATATTTGTGTAATATGTTTAATAAACTAAACTTGAGAGATAAATGTTGTTTCCCAGTCCCCACGTCAAACTACAGAGTTATATATTTGTGTAATATGTTTAATAAACTAAACTTGAGAGATAAATGCTGTTTCCCAGTCCCCACTGTCAAACTACAGAGTTATATATTTGTGTAATATGTTTAATAAACTAAACTTGAGAGATAAATGTTGTTTCCCAGTCCCCACGTCAAACTACAGCGTAATATATTTGTATAATCTGTTTAATATACTAAACGTGAAAGATAAATGTTGTTTCCCAGTCCCCACGTCAAACTTAAATAAGTTATACGTAAAATTGAAATCTGATATATTTTCCATCATAAAACTACTCTTTGATAACCAAAGTCGAAGAGCTATTGAGAAAAACAAAAAATGTTTTCAATTACTTGTGCGTAAAATTGAAGCTAGAGGAGCTACGAGGTCACAAAGTTGTGCGTGTGATGTATATTTGATTGAATTATGTTTTAAACTTTTTACATTTAATTAAACGATTTTCCTCAAGAAAGGATTTGGCATCTACTAAGAAAATAAAAGAGTGTGGGGGGGGCTTATTGCAACCCAATTTGTTGACTTTTTAGAAAAAGCAATATGAGGAGCTTTTTTTTAATAATATAAGTTTGTGACTATTTTGTTAAGACTTTAATAAGGCCACATAATCTTTTTAGTTTCACAATTTAGATGAAATTTGTCTGATAACGTTTTTTTCTGATACTAAGTTAAAAAACAAAACTACGTTAATTCTTAAAGTAAAAAAGACCTTTTATGCATAGTGTCCGTATTTGGAAGTTTAAAAACTTGTTAATAGATATTGATGCAATAATGATTTAGACTAAGTCCTATAGTCTCCATAGTAACACTTCTGTACTTTTATTATTAATAAACAGACGAAACATGATAAAACGTACTTTATTGAAGGTCCGGGGTCATGCTGTACATACTCACAAGATTTTTAATATTAAACATGTGTATAGATTATCATAATGTATTATGAATTTATATAAAACAGTGTATTATATATACTAGCTTGGAACCAACGAGGTTATAGTGTATAGAGTGATGATGTACGCTAATCCTTTACTAATTTTACAGGCCATAAATTACGAGGTTATAGTGTATAGAGTGATGATGTACGCTAATCCTTTACTAATTTTACAGGCCATATACTACACCGAGAGCGTACTGCATATTTGTTTATTTTAAGGAGATTCTGGCCTAACCTATAGTATATCAATATTAGTAAACAGTTGTAAGTGTACAGTACAGCTAACTGAGCACACAGGTTGAGAACTATCATCCCCCTGCTTGGAACCCAGCGATGCACAGGGTCATAGTTAGTCCCGCTGATTACCCGCACTTGCACGATGTTTACTTGTAAACTTAATTTTAGCTATAAAAGTCAACCCAGTCAACTTAGAATCTCAAAACCAAGCTAAGAACATTCCCGTGACTCTGTCGAGTTCCCCAATCAAAATTTGAAGCATCGGTCCCGGGATTTCTGAGTTATGATCGGACAAACAAACAAACAGCAAACCGAGATTACAACTTTATTTATATAGATGCATATTGCAACATAGAGAGCGTCCCATATCATATTAGATTATCTCCAAGCTTTAACGCCAAAGTAAGCATTTAATATTCGAAAAACAAACATAGCATTTCCTGCAAGAAATTTTCTAAGTTAGCCTTTTTGTTTTTTTTTCAAATACTTTCTTCTTAAATTTTCTGATTAGTCCCGGAAATTGTAATTTAGACCCATTGATGATCTAATATATGGGACACCCTGTATATTTCGAAAATTTTGGACCAAAATATGAGGTAAAGGATTACCCACATAGGATGACGGTACAGAATGAAATAATTCAGATTCTTATATTCCATTGTTTCCCTGCAGCACTTACTGCTAGAACTTCCAAATCATATGAATTTTAAAAAATTGATTGAATGCAATATGGCAATCCAATTCCAATTAGTTCATTTTGAGAGTTTCAGGTCGTCTTTAATGTTTCTAATCCTTTATGCATAACCCTGAACTATGCTAATGCTGCTTTATAGGACTCGATCAAACAAGAACTTTTATTTCAAACCAGGATTTTTATCTTAATATAATTTTGGTAGAGTGGAATTCATGTTGTGTTCAATGCCCCGGAAAATTCCAAAACAGAGAGTGGGTTAATCCACTATACCAAGGTGGTCTTACCCTGCAGAGATAACTTTAATTGATGGATCCACCAATAGTTAACAAAATTGTTCATTTTTTAATCGAGTCAGTCAGTATAAATAATCTTTCATTCAGGAATATAATTTTGATCAAATTTTTAATATTAGCCTGGTTAAACATAATTTATTACATGAAGACTAACTTTTATTTCAAATATAACTTTTTTACCGAAATCATTGCTGAAAAAATAAAGGTTGTTGATTTTAAAAGATCTTGATTTTGAGATTAAAAATAATCCGAATTCATAGAATTGTTGAATGATAAGTTTCAGACTGCAAACTCAGAATAAATAGTGATCACTTTTTAATAAAAACAACCCTTAATATGCACATTTTTGGACACTTAAATAATTACATATCAATAAAAAGACGAGATAACTTGATAAATTTTATTTAAAAAATACTACAGTAAAAAGTTTATGTTTAGGCTATATACCTACAAATAGCTTCATAGCTTATTTAACACAGCTCATAAAATAAATCAAAGAAAATTTTTAAAAATGGTTGACAGCATATCCTCGCAGCAGTTGAAAACGTTGATTTTAACTTTCGGAGCGGCTGTCAACGCTGTTTTTACGTTGTCTAACTCCAATAAGTTGTTACGTATGTATATGAAGCTGTTTGAAACTATGTTTTACAGATTTGTGTAACTGCATGCTGTTTCACGTACTATCCATGTACACTGTACACAGTACAATGTAGGTTTAAAGGGACAGTAAGTGTAATTTCAAGTGAATTCAAGTGAATTCAAGTGAACAAAGATGACAATGCCCGATTCGCAACAGTGCATTTAAAAGCCTTTTCTCATAAAGTATGAATTGTTCGATAATTTTGAAAAACTTTAATTCCCAAATAAACTAAAATATTAGATAAAGGTTTCAAGGGTATGAATATGGCATTACATCTCTGCATGAAGGGTCACTTGATAATACGCGTACAGCCCCTTTAACACTGTACAATGAGTGTGCAGTGTTTCTAAAAAAACTATCTGAAGAGATCTACATTTATGAACTAGAGTTTATTCCCTGTTAGTTAGCTCCTGTTGTCATCCTCAGTTGTAATAAACCCAAGGTTCCTTAATGCGTTTGATTAGGAAGATTAGGAAGAAATTGGTAGATTTTTCCTCCCAAAAGGCCCAAGTATTCCTCTAAATTGACCGATTTTGGCTGGTGTCCTTCACATGGCAGTTTCCCTCAAAATTGGTAGTTTGCCCTCAAAATTGGTAGTTTCCCTCAAAATTGGTTGTTTTCCCTCAAAATTGGTAGTTTACCCTCAAAATTGGTAGTTTACCCTCAAAATTGGTAGCTTTCCCTCAAAATTGGTAGCTTTCCCTCAAAATTGGTAGCTTTCCCTCAAAATTGGTAGAAATTCCTTTAAAATAGGCAGTTTTCCTCTTAATAGGCAGGGTTTCCCTCCAAATTGGAATTATTTTACAAATTTCTAAGAGACAAGAGTAACCCTGGATATATAAAGCCCAGGTAGACAAGAAGGAAATGTTGACTAAAGGGACTAGAATCAATATTTATCTACAAAAAGTTGACCCCAACTCCAAACTGAAGCCCAGGGGTCACCTTGTCACCTCGAGAAGCCTGAAAATAGTAAAAAAGAATTAAACGGACTTATTCTTAAAATATGAGAAGTTATTTTAAGTAATCCCTCCCTTTAATCATGCAAAAAGCTATTTACAAAATTAAACCAATATATTCGATCTGAAACTAAAACTTGTTTCATTAACAATAAATTGTTTAATTGACAGTAAATTGTTTATTTGAATTGATTTTACCAACTATTCCTTTTTAATTCATTAAAAGGGACTGAAACTTTTTAAGTGACCCGAAATTCCATTTTTTTATTGACAAAAAAAACGTCGTTTTTACTGAAATATACTTTTATCCAACCAAATTTTTTACATTTTGGAGACTTCCAGGGACTTTCTAATATATTAAAATGGCTAAAATTAGTAAAATACTTTATTATTTTTTCTTGAGAATGCTAAATATTCAAATAAATATATTTTCCTTTATGTTATTTTTAGCTTACCTTAATTGGAATACAATAGTTAAGTTCTATTCTAGCAATACCACCAAGTTTAACTGCTAATCCAAGACCTTAAAAGAAACCCTAGATTAATCCTGTAAGATACAGTGATAACCAATGGATACTTTTATGATGAAAAAGAAAGACGACAATTATCAAAGATTATGTAATTTAAACTTATGAAATTGACTTAGTACTTACAAAAAATGCTTAAGGGACCAGTTTTACATTAATTGCAAGGAGTAGTTTAACCACCAGACAAAGTTGAACCAGTTCTCTTTAACTTGACCAGGTGCAGCCCGCGATTAAAGGTTTGACTCGAGTTGGAATTCTCGAAACCCCGGTCTAAGTCTCAATCTTAGACCCAACGCTGACGACAGATTGTGTCACGTGATTGAGAGCTGCAAAATCTTCGGCTCAACTTACGTAGTTAGGCCTAATGTAAACAAAATCGACCATGGTTGTTTTTAGTGGATAAGTAGTCTCAATGTTGAGTCTTATTCTATTTTTATTCAGGAATCTGCTAATTTTCCCGATTTTTTTTTTATCGCGGGCTCAGGTTCACAAAACACGTGGTTTAACTACGTCAACGTTGTTCAACTACTGCTAGCTTTCATTAGATATGGTCCTAGTGTCTAAATTTCTAGAGTTTTAACAGTTGGTCTTTATAAATCTTTCGATGCATTTCTATTAAAATAAAAGAGAGATCGGGAAATAATTTGCCCAGCTTTTTAATTAAATATCTTTGTTTAAAATTTCTTTATCTTTGTCTCTTTACTTATTTTAATGATTAGAAATAAGAAAGAAATTACGTATACTTGTTTTCCTGATAACTTGCCAACAAACTTTGAATTTAGATAAATATTATCTTATAAAAATACTTTAATAGTTGTTTATTTGCATAAAAGGGGAGACAGTTCAAAGTCAAATATTGGCTTGAAATTGTACTATAAAACTGAAATAAAAAATGGTGAGCTCTGTGGATTTTATCGCTTTTGCTAAGGCAGTGTATACGATATATCATTAATTAAATCATAACTTAAAACAGATATGATATCTTAAACTTTGAGTCTTGTATCATCTATGTAACTTTGCCTGTCTGTTTGTATCCAAACAACGTAAAAGCGGCTCACAAGGCCCCAGAAAAGGTTTATAGATGGTAAATTTTTTTAAATGTTCGACAAAAAATATTTTTATTTTTGAAAATATACGAATAGAAATCCACGAAAATTTGAGAAAGATTAAAAATGTCGACTTTAATAGGAAAATTGTAAAGGTGTTAAAGTTGTTCATAGGAAACCTAAAAACCAATACAGAAGTACATTAATCTCAAGATAACAATTTCTTCAACCTATTTTTAATTTACACATTTGGATTGGACATCCTATTTTTAATTTACACACTTGGATTGGACAATGTACATCCTATTTTAATTTACACACTTGGATTGGACATCCTATTTTAAATTTACACTCTGGATTGGACAATGGACATCCTATTTTTAATCCTTTTTTTAACACATTGAAGTTGAAAATGTATTCAACCTTTACATGTCAACAGATATTTTTAAAATTAATATCATTATTGATATTGGGATGGGGGGAACTCACAAATCTATAAATATTAATATTTATAAAAAACTTCGTAACCCCTCCCCCCCCCCTCCCGGAAAAGTTGAATGAAAACATCAAGGTTGACATCACTCAAAGTACTTATAGTTTTTAGCAAACAATATTTTCAGTTGTTTATTTACTTAGCTTTGTTTACTTGACATTGTTTAATGTTTATACACTTTAATCATGAGTGCGTAGTAATTTTCCAGACCGGAGACTACAGTTCAAGCAATGTGCGCAGAACGAAGGTGGAAAGATAAGGTTTGTATATACTTTTTTCATTGGCATGTTAATTTAAACCAGCGTGGAACTTCAGGGTGTCCCACGAAACATGAAAGTAAAGAGAAAAAGATAGAATATCGTCTTTGATTATAGAAATAACAGACGGCATTCATTTATCAACCTACTTTTCAGTGTATGATTTTTAAAACATTATACACAAAATTCCCCTACTCCTGGCATTTCCAAAAATGTGGTCTGCCTTTTAGTCTTCATGTTTCGTGGGACACCCGGTAGTATTATTAGAATAATAAATATGTGAAGCAAAAGTCGGAAATGTTTCTTTGCTGGTTAAAAAGGCCAGGCTTGTGAAATCACAGACAAAACAGTTCTATTTTCCCCAAAGTAGCATAGGGTTAATAGCTTTTCTAAAAAATCAACTGAGGGGCACGGGCAACACCCCTATTAGATTATGTGTATCTCATAAATGTCAAAAGTCCCAATTTTTTTAGGTATCTCACATGACCACAGGAAAGGTTTATAGCCTGTTGAGATCAATAGTTTAAAAAAGTGTTATCAAGATTTTTTTTAAATATCAACCATGCATTAAAAAGCGAAAGCTAGTTAAATTCATCAAATTATAAACCCCTGAAATAAACTACACCGAAAAATATAGAATCGTCACCTGACTGCTCTCTGACAGCGAACGATGATATTCTATTGAGACAACTCAAATTTCTCCAGACAGCTTCATATTGAAGATTATGTATAACCTAGAATAGAATGATTACCCACCACTTTTCTAAAATACCACCAATGAAAACCTGCCCCTTTTCATTGATCAGAAAAGTTGTAAATAAGGCAGTTCCCACCACTTTTCATGAAAACCTGCCAACTGCCACAAAACCCTGTAACTATGGTGCAGAAAGGATAGAAAATAAGGAAAGAAAGTAAATGAACCTCCTACGTGTGGTGCAGAAAGGAAGGAAGGGAACCATCTACCTTTGGAGAAGAAAGATAGGAATTTAGAACCATCTACCTGTGGTGTAGAAAGGAAGAAAAGAAAGGAACCATCTACCTGTTGTGCAGAAAGGAAGGAAAGAAAGGATCTATCTACCTGTTTTGCAGAAAGGATCCATCTACCTGTTGTGCAGAAAGGAAGAAAAGAAAGGATCCATCTACCTGTTGTGCAGAAAGGAAGAAACCATCTACCTGTGGTGCAGAAAGGAAGAAAAGGAAGGAACCATCTACCTGTTGTGCAGAAAGGAAGGAAAGGAAGGAAGGAAGGAACCATCTACCTGTGGTGCAGAAAGGAAGGAGCATGTTTCCAGGTAACCAAAAACTAAAAAAAAATATATTTTTATATTAGTAATTTTATTCAAAAAATTTATATTTTAATCATTTTTATTTACATTTAATCGTTAAAAAGTGCTTTAGATCTGAAACAAAGCTGAGTATAAGCCTTAACAATTAGAATAGGAAAAATGATGACCGGACCGCGTCACCTAATCCCCATGGATATGTTTGGACCCCTATTTCATCAAATGCTGGGGGTTGTCTTTTTATAAAAAAAAATAATACACGAATTAACTTATCATTACTTTCTGGGTCGTGAATTTTTAATTCATTGACTGTTGCTTATGTTATGACCATTATGTTTAATTGGTAAAAATCCACACGGTCATGACCATTAATGTTCACCTGCCAACATTTCCAGCGGTCATGAACATATGAGTTTTAAACAGGTCTCCGAAGCCTCCACGTCCTGGTCTAAAAAAAAGATGTGAATCTGGGGATCAAGCATTGATCTCCATCTTATGCAGATCAATGAACTAATATAAATCCTTTTCATTGTATTAGATTATATTTAAATCTAATTCAAATTGGTTTGTAAAAAACAAAAATAAGAACATCGCTTTAATCTTCTTCTTTATTTTTTTTTGACATTCTCAAAAAGTGATAATGGGGATGGTGGAGATTTCCTATGAGGGGGGGGGGCCCAATAGGCCCATTTCTAACACTGAGTATTAGTTTTGGAACTAATGTCCCCTGTAATAAGGAATATAGAGTACATTTGTTGACGACAACGTCACTTAAACAACTTTAATCATTCTTTGTTTGTTAATCTATATAATAAAATGAATATACAAGTATGTCACCTGAAAGGTAAAGGAAGGTATAAATGAATATACAAGTATGTCACCTGAAAGGTAAAGGACCGTATAAATGAATATACAAGTATGTCACCTGAAAGGTAAAGGACCGTATAAATGAAGTCCAGTCGCCCAAAACAAAGTACCTCCAAGAGCATTTCCTAAAAAATATCAAACATTAAACTAAAAAATTATTTCCTGTTAAAAAATAAATTCATGTGAAGAAATAGATACAAATCATTATTCTGTCATGTGAAGAAAAAGATTCGTATCTAGAATCCATCATATGAAGAAAAAGATTCGGATCTTGAATCCATCATATGAAGAAAAAGATTCGGATCTTGAATCCATCATATGAAGAAAAAGATTCGGATCTTGAATCCATCATATGAAGAAAAAGATTCGGATCTTGAATCCATCATATGAAGAAAAAGATTCGGATCTTGAATCCATCATATGAAGAAAAAGATTCGGATCTTGAATCCATCATATGAAGAAAAAGATTCGGATCTTGAATCCATCATATGAAGAAAAAGATTCGGATCTTGAATCCATCATATGAAGAAAAAGATTCGGATCTTGAATCCATCATATGAAGAAAAAGATTCGGATCTTGAATCCATCATATGAAGAAAAAGATTCGGATCTTGAATCCATCATATGAAGAAAAAGATTCGGATCTTGAATCCATCATATGAAGAAAAAGATTCGGATCTTGAATCCATCATATGAAGAAAAAGATTCGGATCTTGAATCCATCATATGAAGAAAAAGATTCGGATCTTGAATCCATCATATGAAGAAAAAGATTCGGATCTTGAATCCATCATATGAAGAAAAAGATTCGGATCTTGAATCCATCATATGAAGAAAAAGATTCGGATCTTGAATCCATCATATGAAGAAAAAGATTCGGATCTTGAATCCATCATATGAAGAAAAAGATTCGGATCTTGAATCCATCATATGAAGAAAAAGATTCGGATCTTGAATCCATCATATGAAGAAAAAGATTCGGATCTTGAATCCATCATATGAAGAAAAAGATTCGGATCTTGAATCCATCATATGAAGAAAAAGATTCGGATCTTGAATCCATCATATGAAGAAAAAGATTTGGATCTTGAATCCGTCATATGAAGAAAAAGATTCGGATCTTGAATCCATCATATGAAGAAAAAGATTCGGTTCTTGAATCCATCATATGAAGAAAAAGATTCGGATCTTGAATCCATCATATGAAGAAAAAGATTCGGATCTTGAATCCATAATATGAAGAAAAAGATTCGGATCTTGAATCCGTCATGTGAAGAAATAAATTCGGATTCTGAATCCGTCATGTGAAGAAATAAAATTTAAATTCTAAATAAGAGATGTAAATAAATATTCAATAGATTCGGATACAGAATCTGGCATGTGAAGAAATGAATTAGGGTACATGAATCCATCATGTAAAGAATTAAATTCGGATTCTGAATCCGACATTTGAAGAAATAGATTCAGGTCATGAATCCGTCATGAGAAGAAATAGATTCAGATTCTGAATCCGTCAACTGAAGAAATTTTTTCTTTGCCATCTCTGAAGGAAACGTCATTTGGATAAAGAGTTATCGCAGCGAAATGTTATTAAGACTAATTAGACTGTTGATTTTCAAATCGCTGCTTTTCATCACAATAAACTAAGATTTTGGCGGACTTTTTAATTGATATAGGTGCACTTTCAAAAGTCAAAACACAAAAAATGACCAGGAAAACTTTCAAATTTGAACGTCTATAAACCTTTCTTGGGGTCATGTCAATTGCCACAAAAAAAATTACAAACAAAATGTATTGTTGTCGAAGAAAGCAAATGCGAATTTGAGAATTATTCATACCATCAGAATGAGGTCCAATTCCCCTGAGATCAAAGCCCCGAACATTGAGAGGACCTCCCAAGAAGAAGTTGTCACTGTTGTCAAATCATAATTTTTTAAATGTGGTCTTATTAAAGTTCAAAATAAATTGTAAATTAGTTTCAAAAAGTTTTCCACTCAGCAAAGCTTATTTTAAGGATGAAAGTAGGGACATATCTTACCATGTATAACGTCCAATGTGCAATTAAAAATATAATTTAAATAAAAATGTATTTGTTTTGAGTAATGTTTGATAATATTTCTTCAACTATCAAAATTCCAAACTAAATGATATAAATAATCTGAATGACATTATAAATTTTAAAAAAAACGTAATTTCAGTAAAATAAAAAATAAAATTTAATTTAAAAAGTGTTATTCCCTAATGGTTAAAGTTTTATCTCCTTGAGTGGGTTTAAGGATACCAGCGTTTAAACACCCTTGGATAGATATATCCTCACCCAGAGGAATATTCGCCTAGAAAATCAATTAATCAATTAGTCCACCAATCAATCAAGAAGTCCACAAATCTATCAATCAACCAATCAATTCACTAATCTAAAATCAATTAACCACTCAATCCACAAATCAATCCACCGATCTATTACTAACTGTTTGATCCACCCATAAAAAATCAACCGTTATTCAGTTAAGCAGTTTATTAGTCAATCAAGCCGATTAATCATTTATTATCATACTTAAAGGGAGTGTTCGCGAAAAATGAAAGGGGGTATAGGCTTACGGCGAAAAATAAGCGCGTTTGATTGCTACTAATCTTACTTCTATCTGTTGCGCCTATAAAAGACGAAATTTGTTTAAAACGACTCAAACTGAAGAACGTAGCGTCCATACAAATTTAGAAAGTTGCAACATTCAACTCAGTTCGTAAAAAAATCAATATAATTCCGGACAAACCATTTAGATATTACAACTAATAATCATCGACAATTTTTCGACGCATTCGTATAAAGTCGATATTTCATGATATTTTTTATTTTTTATGATCTGATAGTTACTTTTGAAAACATTAATTCATGTTTCGAGGATTTTTGATAATATATTTTTCCAGGAATGTTCGAAAATCCAGGGCCAGCGAAATATAATTTTAAAAAAAAGAAGTCAGAAATATTATGAAAAATTAACTATATAACAAAACGTCGAAAAATAGTCGATGACCATTGTTTGTAATTTCTGAATGATTTGTTTGGAATTAAATTGATTATTTTATTTTATTATTTATTTAATTTGATTGAGTATTAAAAAAAATCAACATGCTGGGACACAATTTTTTTTCTCGCGAATTTTATGTCAAGACTTTCTCTGCTTCCCAATTAAAATATTTCCAAAAATAAATTACCTAACAAACTACTTTTTTCTTCATTCCCATAAATAAAGCGATATTTGAAATAAATATATATTATAAAATTACCCCACACCCTGGATAATACCTGGACTTCGAGTTCATTCTTGAAAAATCCAATATTTCCACCAAGTCCAGCGAATTCTTGGGTCAACCTGTACACTCACAATATACATAAATCAGCAACAGACTTATTATGTACAAGGTAAAAGATCCTTGTACGCCTGCTTTGATACAAATTGTTTGTGTACAAAAGACTAGGGGGCTCCCCCACCCCTAGAAAAAGACCTTTAAATACAGATTTTAAGGTTACAATGCATGTTCATAGCTCAATTTTTCATTGGAAAAAATTAGAAGGCTAACTTTAATAATTTGGGTGCTATGGAGGTTTGAAAAAAATATAGTTTTTAGATCTGTAGCTTTTATAACAGCTTTTTTTCACCTTTTTATCGTTCTGCCCCCAACCCTGTGCATTAGCAAAAAATACTTTAAAAATTCTTTAAAAATTCTTTAATAATTGTTTAATAGGAGGGGNAAAGGAAGGAGGAGCTATCTACCTGTGGTGCAGAAAGGAAGGAAAGGTCTGCTAGGAACTATCTACTTTTGGAGCAGAAAGGAAAAAAAGAATTCATCTACCTGTGGTGCAAAAAGAAAGGAAGGGAAGGAAAGGAAGGAAGGAAGGAGGGAAAGGAACCATCTACCCGTGGTGCAGAAAGGAAGGAAAAGTCTGCTTGAAACCATCTACCTGTGATGCAGAAAAAAAGGGAAGGTTTTTTTAAAAACCCTCTACCTGTGGTGCTGAAAGGAAGGAAAAGAACCATCTACCTGTGGTGCAGAAAGGAAGGAAAGGTCTGCTAGAAACCCTCTGTCCAGCTCTTTATATCCTGAACCTGGATGCTCTCCTACGGCTTGGTAAATGTTTCCTAATAAAAAAAAATATAAATATAAAATTATATTTATATTATTAGCCTTTCTGCTTGCCATTTTTTTTATCTCATGGCTTCCAATTTTTGTTCTTACTCAAGTGACCCCAAGGATTTTAATGACCAGGTAAAACTAATTCAAATCCAAATTATCTTGTTCTTTTGAAAATCCATAAATTGAAACAAGTTTAGGAAATGCTTCAAGTTTGATTATAAAAACTGATTAAGTTAGTAAGTAAGTAATCATTTATTTATGAAAAATAACAAAAACTTACAAAATTAAGTGTTTAAGGAGAAAATATTTGAAAACCTCCAAAAATCGAGGTTGTGGGAATATTTCCCCCAATTCTAAAAAAAATATAAAAAATAGAAATAAAAGGAAAAGGAAAGTTACATATTTATTGTTAACATTTTATTCAGTTTAAACTAGTAGTGGATTGTTAGTATTTTTCGACAAAATAGAAATAAAAATGATAGATTTATTTCTAATGTTTAATAAAAATAAGATAGGTTTTATAGGTTGTGAAAAATGTACAGGTTAGAAAGGTTTCTTAGTAACAGACAAAATAAAAAGTTGAAAGTAAAAACCTATCATCTAAATTTTGGACAATTCCATTAGAAAATACCAAAAAAAGGCGTTTAGGAAAAAAAGAGTCATGTTGAATTTACCTGTAACATTTGACTTAAAGGCACCAAAGAATGGTTTAAGAAAAGAGATATTAAAGCTGCTGGATTTCTTAGTTCCGTAGGTGTAATCAGCCTAAATATTAATAGATAAAATTTTATTGGTTCCGTAGATGTAATCAGCCTAAATATTAATAGATAAAATTTTATTAGTTCCGTAGGTGTAATCAGTCTAAATATTAATAGATATAATTTTATTGGTTCTGTAAATGTAATCAGTCCAAATACTATCAATATATTAGTTCCGTAGGTGTAATCAGCCTAAATATTATTAGATATAATTTACTGGTTCCGGCGTTGTAATCAGTCTAAATATTTTCAATATATTAGTTCCGAAAATGTAATCAGCCTAAATATCAATCAATTTACTGGTTACGTAGGTGTAATCCACCTAAATATTTATCAATATATTAGTTCCGTAGGTGTAATCAGTTGAAATATTTATCAATGTATTGATTCTGTATATGTAATAATTAAAAAGGAAGTGGTCGCTAAAAGGTAAAACAACAAGGATCAGATAACACGACTCAAACTCTTTTCCCTTAAACCGTATATCTTTGCTACCTCGTGGTGCAAACCCCAAATGGGTTTAATGATAACAAAATCAGAAGTATCATCGAAAATTAAAAATTTAATAATCTAAATAATATGGTTATCTCTTGAACCGACATGAAAATCGGAGTTCATAACAATTGAGAGAATTAAAAAATATTGAAAATTGGGCAAGTTTTGATACGTCAAAAATAATTTTTTCCTTAAAATGAAATTTATTTTTTCCTAACTCGGTCAAATTTCAATATTGTTCGATTCTGTAAATTGATTTCAATTCAGAAATTCAACTCTGTTCTAAAGATACCCAATTTGATAAAATTTTTAACAAATTTTTATTTTCACTTATACTTATTTGAAACTCATATTTTTTAATTTTGTAAAAAATTATTTAAGCATGTCTTAGTCTTAATAGTCCTAATAGAATACTTTTTTGTTTCTTAAAAACTGTTTCGGAAAAATTTCACACCGTTTAATCTTTATAAATCTATATTTTATCTCGCACAGTTAATATTTTGAATCAAAACGACCGGAGAAGGAAAAAATTTAATCAAAGTTTGAGGCGATTATGAGTTTTAATCTGTACTAATCTATTATTCTGAAACTATTGAAGTTATAAAAAAAGCAGTATGAATTGGGTTTACCTGTAGTTTCTCTCCTCTACCCAGAACATTTAGAAGTTTAACACCAGTCATGAGACTACCCTGGCAAGTAGGTTAAATCAAAAGATGAAGTAAAGAGTTTCTCGAAAATATTTAAAACATTTATCAGATTATTATTCATCTTGTTAAACTAAATTATTAATTCAACACTTTTTTTAAATTGTAAATAAAAAATATCTTTATCTTCCAATCGAAAATAAACATAAATCTTAATGCAAAATAAACAATTGTAACATAAAACCTTAAAGTAAGGAGATACTTGATTTTCCGATTTATCTTTTATATACATTATACAGGTTAGCCAAAAAGCAGGAGACTTCAGAGTGGACTGTACGGAATTAATTTTTTAAAATTTTTAATTTCCTTAAGCAATAAACATTTTTTTTTGCAAAATCACAACTTTGAATTTAATCCATTTCAATCAACCTTTAATTTCATGTCGCTATAAAAGTCTCATTTATTGTGGGTAACCCTGTGGATTAACCGGATAAATTCGGAAAAATATTAATCTTTAGAGTACTACCGGTCGAGTAAATAGAAGTGAAATGGGAGAACACACCGTAGGATGGAAATAAAAACTAAAAAAGGTAAAATCTGAGCTGAAAACTTTAGAATGGGATATCCTTAATCCCGATCGGTTAATTAATCTGGAAATTAATAACATGAGGAGCATTATTTAATCTCGAGATTAAGAAAAAAGGTTTATCAAGGATTTATCCCGATATCCACCATTCAAAAGTTCACAGCTCTGAAACATCAGATGAACAATTGTAAAAACCCGACAGAGAGGAGAGGCAGTTGTAGTTTTTTATTGGAAGGTAAAAAAGGTAAAAAGAAAATAGAAAATCTTAAAAAACGCACTACTTCACGTTGTATCCCTTCTGTAGTATATATTTGCCCACCAAATCATATTTTTATTTTTTTCTGAGAGTTTAAAAGGGATTTATTCCATGGAAATATATGCTCCCGTGTAGAAAATATATGCTCCCGTGTAGAAAATATATGCTCCCGTGTAGAAAATATATGCTCCCATGTAGAAAATATATGCTCCCATGTAGAAAATGGGCACACATAATTAAAAGCAACTAACCTCGTTATTTCCGACCAGTGTGTTCACACTACCCACAATCCTCTTATTCTCCTCAACGTTGAATGTAACAACATAATCCTTAAATATTTATTTCTTTAAAATCAACCAAAGTTAGAAAATTAACAAGGGCTTTTTTTGTTTTAATGAAGGTAAACATGGATATCACAGATTGATTTTTAAGAATTTTTGTTTTATCATTTTACAATCTTTTCTAAATTTTTCTTAAAGGAACTGTTGTTTTATTTTTAAGTGAACCTGCAGTAAAACTGAGTGCCATAGTGATTCACAAAGGTACCCTTTAAACCTTGATCAAAAATAACATTGAAGATTTATTCTATTTCCACCAGTCAATAAAAAAGATTAAACATGGATTACCTATTTATTCTGATTAGACAAACCTATCAAGGGTACTGTTGTGAATCCGAAATGTAGGCTCTATTAAAACTATAGGTCTACAGTCATTACGGATGCAGATAGATTATATAATCATTTGATACATTAATTGTAAACTTTGATCGACTCTTGTATTTTAAAAGTTAATTTCTTTGATATATTCTAATTGATGATGCGGAAAAAAGGACTACCATTTAATCTACAACAATCCACCATATTTAGTTTCATTTTAAATTTTTAGCAAGAATGTAAATTGAAAATACAAAAGTTAAAACAGAAACATTCACATTATTCTTGAATGGGTTTCCGCGATTAAGGGAAACAAATAAATTTGGATATTTGAAGCATGGCCTCTTACTCATTAAGTCTTTTTACTCGACGAAAAAAGACGATCTTTATTATACAATATACAAACATTAAGAACATAAGAATCAAGATAAGAAGCTCCTCAAGTTTAAGGAACCCCAGCTGCCAATGGAACATAAAACCAATATATATGGCATTGCTCTACTTTATAAACAGTGATACCCATAAAACTGTGGAATAGCAAGACAAAACGTGTTTCATATGATTTAAAATAGTCCAATAAACGTGAAACTAGGCAATTGTGCAGTTTAAACCTGCTTATTTCAATAAATAGGTTCATTTTCAAGCTATTGGTAAAACTAATTGCTCTATAACACCATCAAATACACATGAGATTGCTTAAATGTCGTTTTCCTATTCCACCGTTATATGGTTCTCACGGTATAGGATAATTTGTATGTAGATAACCAACCTTAACCCCGGTCTGACTTGTATCAATGTGAATTCCAACTTTTGAAAAACAACCCAGCTCCTAGATTAAAGAATATTAAAGTTATAAACATAATTGTAACAATCGTTAGTTTCTATTCGGATATATTAATAATTTAACCATTCAGTGTATTATATTTGAGACATAAGATTATCAGAGGTGAACAATTTTGATACGAGTGATTTTCCTTTATCTTAAATGCTTGATTTAGATATCCAATAAACATTAATCTCCAATTGACTGGCTTCATGAGTCCAATTCACATTTAGAAACCCTTCAAATAAATTTTTCTGAAAATATTTAGTACCAATGTTTTCTTTCTGATGTATTTTATTCTTTTTATAAAAACTTTTTCATCGTAAAAATCTCATGAAAAAATATGAAACCAAGGATCAGATTTAATGAACAGTGGGAAATCGTTGAACCACGAACCGTCCCGGTTCAACCAGCTCTCATGTACGCTGATGAAAAGTGGTTAAATTTTATCTATGCAGTTCAACCACTACCGATTCATAAAATTTGCTCCCATGTCAGATACTATTAAAGTTCTTGAAGGGACTGTAAGTTCAATTTCAAGAGGCATTCCAAGCAGAGATGGCAATGCCCGATTTACAACGATACCATTAAAATTATTAATTAGATATCCATTTTAAACTTTTTATTTTCATTTGCGGTTTCTCTCTGAAAGTTACTTGCACTGCGCGCATTCCTTGTTTATAAGAAGCATTGGATAAACTTAGGGAAACAAACACTTTTCTAGAAAAACAAATGACGGTATCTTCCACATTTTACATGGAAATCACTTGAAATTACGCTTACAGTCCCTTTAATTTTGAATCTTTAAAAATATTTGATTGAATTATGCAAAATTACCTGAAGCTTGCCTCGAACCTCCTGAGACATGAGAACTAAATCCTCAAAATGTTCAACCTATTTGAAACATTTTTTTTGAAGGAATTGAGTTTTTACCACAAACTCAAATTTTCTAATCCCTAAGTCTTGACAACATAATGTGGTAAACCTTTGATATTTGAAACTATTATTTCTGTTAGATCAAATAGTCTAAGTTTAAAATATCAAAGGATTGAACTATCAGGTTTCAAAGATAAATAGATTAGAAAGTTTGAGTTCGTGGCAAAAACTCAAATAATTTCCTGAATTAATTGTGAATAGAATTCTCAAAAACTTATTTAAGAAAAATAACCTGGAAAAGATCCTTGACACTGTTCATAACAATATCGTTCTTGGTTCTACAAAAAAAAAGATTAATAATGTTTCCAATATTATCAAGTAAATTAAAAATTATCATATAGAAGGGGAAATGTCATTAGACTTAACAGTCAATCATAATCTCTTTCATTCGTCTTCACAATTATTTTCTTAAAATTTCTTCCTGAACAGTCAATCATAATCTCTTTCATTCCTCTTCACAATTATTTTCTTAAAATGTCTTCCTTAACAGTCAATTGCAATCTCTTTCATTCCTCTTCACAATTATTTTCTTAAAATTTCTTCCTCAACAGTCAATCATTATCTCTTTCATTCCTCTTCTTAAAATTTCTTCCTCATCAGTCAATCACAATCTCTTTCATTCCTCTTCACAATTATTTTCTGAAGATTTCTTCCTCAACAGTCAATCATAATCTCTTTCATTCCTCTTCACAATTATTTTCTGAAGACTTCTTCCTCAACAGTCAATCATAATCTCTTTCATTCCTCTTCACAATTATTTTCTTAAAATTTCTTCCTTAACAGTCAATCATAATCTCTTTCATTCCTCTTTACATTTATTTTCATAAAATTTCTTCCTCATCAGTCAATTACAATTTCTTTCATTCCTCTTCACAATTATTTTCTTAAAATTTCTTCCTCAACAGTCAATCATAATTTACTTGCTATTAAGTTTATGGGTCAGAAAGCGCAGTGCATTCAGCATGCAGCCGACTGTAAGCATAATTTATAAATCAGAATAATAATAACTACTGATATAAATGCGTATGATAATCATGTTTATTAATTGGAACCAAATATAGATTTGAATGTTCAGATATCTTTTTTATCTACCTAAAACTTATTAATGTTGATGATTTGGCAGATAAAATATTGCAATAACGACGAATATGAAGCCATCTGTTGACAAATAAAGAAATAAATTGTAAAATTGTGAAATGTCGATAGTTCTATTCAACCGAAGAACCATAAAAATATGGTGTTCAATGAAAATAAATCGTTAATGAAGGTCAGTAATATCTGTTAATCTATGTATTTCCATGAAGTAAATCTGATTTTTAAATATTCGAAAATCCTCAAAGTATAAATCTTCCAAATCAAATCCGCAAATCCTGCAAACTTCAGCATAAAATCCACGAAGTGCTAACTGATAAACATCCTGCCCATGTTTAGCAATAAAAGACTGAATGACAGTGGAGTTTTGAAGATTAGAATCCAAATCTAAAAGTGAAATTTCTTCTATCACTTTGAATTCTTCGTAATCAATCTTTTCTGACTTCCAGAAGTCCTTCGATCCACGTTCTGGGTTACAGAACTCATCAAAGTTCTTTCTAAAAGTTTCCATGTGTTAGTATAAAGAACAAGGTGAGTGGGGCATTTTATCAGTTCAAAATAATTATGGTTAAATCAATATTGATCTATGTATGGGAAGGGGATTGCCTGGGGCCAGGAACAACCCCAGCAATTTTCTTTAAAAAAATAAATGTTAGAAAATATATATAAGAAGCGTGTAAAAATTAATATTCTTCAACTACAGGAGAAATTAGTTCCAAAACTAACACTTGGCCCCAGGGGCGGATACAGGGGGGGCGGGGGGACATTCGCCCCCCCCCCACCTGAATTTGGACTTTTTTGTTCCTATTTTCAGAATAGCTTCTCATTAGCATGCTTAGGGGAAAGAAACCCTAGTGCAAAACAGGAAAAATATCTGTCTAAATAAACTATAATGAGTGAAAAGTTAAAAATCTAGTGTTTTAGTCTTTAGTCATTAATTGTGACCCTTTTTGAGTCTATTAAGTCAAAAAAAAAATGCGGCGAGATTTTTTGTTTGTTCCTAAAAAATCTTGCCCCCCCCCCCCTCACTTAAATCCTGTATCCGCCCCTGCTTGGCCCCTTTCACACACTGAGTGTTAGAAATGGGCCAAATCTGCGAAATTAATCGTATATATTTTTGTTGTCCTCGTCATGCTTAATAAAATGTTGGTTATAGTTTTAATTATGGACTTTTACTCTGGATATGGGCCGGGATCCTAAAAACCCAAACTTTAACACTCAGTGTTAGAAATGTTAGTTTTAGAACTTATGTCCAAAAGTTAGCGTTAAAGAACGAAAGTAATACATCCAAAGTGTAAAAATATGATAATCTTATGAGGAAAAAAATGTAATAATGGAAATTCTTAAACGAGATGAAATAATCTTGATGCAGGCCTGAGTTAAAGAATGCATGAAGATTATTTCATCGAGTTTAAGAATTCCATTATTACATTTTTATCCTCATAAGATTATTATTATATCATATTTGTGAGGTTCCATGGGCACATACTCAAGAAATTATATTAAAAAATAATTCTGGTTAAATCAGACTATTTTAAGTTGGAACAGTTAACATTATGAAAGGTTGCAAATAAGTTTTATGCTCTTGTTCTGACTTACACTGTTTTATTTTTCTAATGTTAAAAAAACATTTTAAAAGTAAAAATTGGTTCTTAATTTGAAAGTAATGCATGTGGTGTGATTGTTTCCTTAATTTAGTTTAGTTTGTTTGTTTACCAATTTCTAATGATTTTGCTCGTTTTTCAAGTTATTGAGATACAGCATGTTAAATGNGATATGATATAATAAGCATTCTTAAACGCTAGAAAGCAAACAATATTTAACATTTTCTTTTGAACTTTGTAATAATGAACATTCTTACACGATAGGATTACTAATATGAAACCGAACAGATTTAAAAAATTTAAAAAAATAATAAGTTTAGATATTTTTTGTATTTAACTAAATGATTGTTTAATGTATTGCGTTATGTTTAACGTTTATATTATAACACTAGTTGAAGGGCCCGGCATTGCCCTTGACAAAAAAATAAAAAAAAATCGATTTTTTTAGCCTATAACACCCCGGTCACCCATTAGTGTTCACAAACAATTTCAGCCCAATCGGTCCAGCCGTTTGACCGACTGTAGGCAACATATATAAATACGAATGTCTTGTTTTATTATATAGATATATCCTCTTGAATAGTTTTGTTTATTAGAGTTTCTTAACATGAAAATATTGACTTTCTTTAAATTGTCTTACCTAACTTGAGTTGTCCAGTAAAGCTTTAATTCAGCTTCAAATAAATTGATGTGAAAATCTTCAATTTACCAGTTTAATAAATAAATAAATAAATAAATAAGTAAATAAATAAAATGATCCGGGAAGCTAAAATGTCTCGGATCCGGGAAGCTAAAATGTCTCGGATCTGGGAAGCTAAAATGTCTCGGATCCGGGAAGCTAAAATGTCTCAGATCCGGGAAGCTAAAATGTCTCGGATCCGGGAAGCTAAAATGTCTCGGATCCGGGAAGCTAAAATATCTCGGATCCGGGAAGCTAAAATGTCTCGGATCCAACGGATCTTGAACACTTGTTATTGCTATTGTTTAATTTCTCAACAAATTCTCACATCGATGAATAAATAGTTGTAAAATTCAGGGTTATTCACGAAGACTGAGACTTGAGAGCAGGAAAACCAAATCAATCCTTCAGATCGTTAAATTCAACAAAGAATTCATGTCGGCATTAAAGTCTAGTTCGTTGTAGGTAACTCTGTATATAATGGAAAACCTACCTACAGCAAACGATTAGTTCAAAACTATTGTCTGTAAACTCAACGAGGTCTGAAGATGATATCAAAATTTTTAATTTATCCCATTCCAAAAATTTAACTTATTCACTATTAACAATTTATGTGTATTTACTACTAAATCTTGTTTAACTGAAGGGTAAACGGGTCAGCCTGGTAGAAGATAGGACTTTTCGTTGTGAATAATTAATTTTACGATGAGCTCGGAACTTTTTGGTCTTTAATCCCTTCAGAAACAACTAATCTGAATCATACAGGGTGTCCCACGAAACATGACGGTAGAAAGTCGTCTTTGATATTTGAATTTATTTGTGACATTCAGTCGTCAACCTATTTTAACATGGATTCTTCTTGAAACAATTACCACACAATTCTCCTCGTCATTTCCAATAAATGGTCTGCCTTTTCAACATTACCGGAGATATTAGGAATTTTGTTCAGATTTCAATTTTGTTAAATAAAACAATAATTGTCAAAATCTGAACGAAATTCTTCATTACTCTGGCAATATTGAAATGCCAGGACTAAGGATATTTTGTGATTATTATTTCTAAAATTTTACTTCTAAAATTATGTTGATAATTTAATACAGCAAATTATATCAAAAATCAAGACGACCTGTAAGTCGTCCTGCTACTATCATGTTTCGAGGGACACCCTGTATGTGGTCTGACAAATTGCGCTGAATTCTTTTGGAAATTGATGAGAGTTCTTTTACTTAAAACATCGATCTGTTAAATAAGACAAAAAATGTGTTCTTGCCACAGGCAAGATCTCTGATAAAATTACGAAACAACTGGTTTTTTTGAAGTACTTGATGAATTTTGATATAATCCTGTGGCGTCCATTTTGAAGATTTGAACTTTATCCAGATTCTTGGTATTCATTTTGGCTTTCAACACTTTCATACCGTCAATGTCAATTCCTATGAAAAATAAAATTTAAAGTAGCAAGAAAACCCGAAAAAAATGAAAAATTTAATTTTAAAAGGAAAAGTTTGTCCATCCTATTTTAATACTTTTACGTAAAAATTATATTGTTTTAAATAAAAAACATTTTTTTAATTCGGTGCTTTAACATTTCTTATGGGAAAAATATATTTTGTAAGGGAGGGGAGGGGGTGAATTTGCAAGAAAATAGACACGCATGTTAAAATCCCTAAACCATTGTTTCTTTATTGGGTTAAAAAATTCTATTACAAGAGTTTATGTACTGAACTTGTTATTCGAGTTTTTTAGGAAAATAAAAAAATCCTGCTTGGAAGAAGTAAAATCAGAATAAAGATGATATTTTCTTGATCATTTATTTCCCCATTCCCCCTCAGAATGGTGGGAAATCTACCTATCAAGCTGCTGAAAGTATGGTGGGAAATCTACCTATCAAGCTGCTGAGAGTATGGTGGGAAATCTACCTATCAAGCTGCTGAACGTATGGTGGGAAATCTACCTATCAAGCTGCTGAAAGTATAGTGGGAAATCTACTTATCAATCTGCTGAAAGGATGGTGGGAAATCTACCATCAAGCTGCTGAAAGTATGGTGGGAAATCTACCTATCAAGCTGCTATGGTGGGAAATCTACCTGTCAAGCTGCTGAAAGGATGGTGGGAAATCTACCTATCAAGCTGCTGAAAGGATGGTAGGAAAGGGCGTGTATCAAGTGCCCCTCCCCACAGCATATTTCAAGTGTGCGTATCTTTTCTCCTTGCGCACGAACCAGGTTCCAAAGGCGCTTGGCCACTTCTCTCATTTTAGAAAAAAATCTGAAAATTTGAAATTTACAATACTTGACATCGTAACTTTTATTACATTTGACAATTTTTAAATGAATCGGGAGCAATTATATTTTCAGATTATGTGAACAGAAGCAAACAGAGCAAAATCTAATTATGATTGAAAAAAGGTCTGTTCACGGATAGCAGGAGGGTTTAGTACCTCCCACCCCTCTCCCTACTCCTGCTCCTCTCCTCTTTAACCCTGCTGTTTCCGTCCCTGCTGCTTCGGTCCTTGGACCTGCTCCTCTTCCTGTCCCTGGACCTGTCCCTCCTGCGGTCCCTGGACCTACTCCTCCTCCTCGTCCTCTTCTCCATCTCCAGCTCGTCCTTCAGGTCAACCTGACGATAAATTCATAATTAACATACAACAGGGATATATATTTTTGTTATAAACATTGACCCACCACCAACCAGCAAAAATATTATTTCCAACGTGCTTTAGGATTGTGAGCTCGTAATACCAACATCGTTTTTTTTCTCGCAGAATTCGGGGGATTTGAATAATGACCGTATTAGGGGGATGGGGAGGTGGGAAAATTATGTTGTTAAAGTCCCCTCAGCCTTCATACAAAGATGGCAATTCCCGATTCACAACGGTAATCCCGATAATACCGATGTTTTCTTACAGAAGAAATTCCCAAGTCACTTTTTGAGTGAAACCACAATTAAAATAACCAGTTTTCCAAATTATAAACATTGATATCTAATTCATACTTGATCAGATAAAGGCTTTAACTTGTTAACCGGAAAGTGCCATTTGTCATTTGAAACTACGCTTGCAGCCCCTTTAACAATAAAAAGGGATGCAAATTTTTTAATAATCATGGATACCCCTCGTCAAAACTTGTATTTTTCAACGTATGCTGTGATTATGAACGTTATAATTGTGAGTGCAAAGCGTTAAAATAGTTTTTTTTCCCGCCAAAGTCACTAGAAAGAAAGAATTTATACAAAACAAAACATTTAAATGACCAGAGAAGTGTGATACGCCTTAGCTTGAGTACAGATTTAACTTATCTTTTTTAACTTTATAGAAAAGCAAAAGTAGTTGAATTGCATTTGATTAGACTCATTTGGTTCAACTACTTCCTAAGGTGTCGTTGATATCTTAAAGGACCCCCCTGCCCTTCGGAGGGAATTCGAATATTTAATATTCGAGGAGGGAGCAAGGTTTGTTGAGTGAAAAAAGTACACATCCAGTGGCATGTTTTAATCTCATTTCGAAAATGTTAATCTGCAAAATTCCCCACTAAGTAATTTCCCCCCTTGTTTTAGCGAAAAATTCTTATAAGGATCCTGACATACAAGGTAAAAATATTTTTTTAAAGTGAGCAGGGCAAACTTATTAAAAATATTCGTATCTTTCCGCTATTTTTTTAGAATGGAGGCATAAAAATCGGAAAACAACCCCCCCCCCAAAAAAAAAAAAATGTTAAATAACCTGGTTTCCGCCGGCTGCGCTTCTGTCAACACCGCCTCCCTTCATACTACGACCGTACAGCTCATGCCGAAGCTTCCGGCCGATAGGCTTGAGGTGCATGAAGTTACAGAACCCTGATCTAGTACACTCTCCGGTCTCGTATTGACGACAACAGGCCTCACGGAAGTCTGTGACAGGAGTGAGCTCGGCGTAAATCGGCCGGCCACCAAACCAACGATTGTTCAGATCATTGGTCGCTTTCTCGGCATCTTCTTCACGCTTGAATTTGACGTAAACATTGCCGACCAGGTGGTCGCCGAGATTGTCGCAGACGTTCATCTCCTCAACCTGACCATACTTATCCTCACACTCTACGAACACGTCCTCGAAGAAGTTGTCGTAGTGCTCCTGCATCTCTTCGTCGGTTACGTTTGCCAAGTGAGAACCGTCGGCCGTCTTGGCCGAATTCTGTGGATTGATGTAAAGGTTCTGCAGAAGCATAGTCTGTGAGAATGTAGGTTTGTTGTGGATCCTTGAACACCTATCTCCGTGAGTACACGCTCCCATCTTGAAGAAGAAGGAACAATTCACCTTGTCCTTCTCTGTACCAAATATACTGGCGAGATATTCAGCCATTTTCAAACTGATTCAATTCTCTGAAAAAAATATTTATTTAATCGAACTTTAAAAAAGAAGTAACCCAAGAAAATATGCACATATATAACGATAGAAATTTGTAATTTCGTTATTAGGGTCCGTCCTAGTGAACGATTTTTGCCCCCCCCCCCCC